TAAAACAACAATATGGATGCACCTTACAGATATTATATTGAAGACAGACACAAGGCAGGAGGAAGTCAAACTCAAGGCAATACTTGATTACATTTATATGAAGCTCAAGAACAGACAAAACTAATCTGTGGTGACTGAAATCAGAAAATGGTTGTTTGTGTGAGGGGATTATTTAAAAACGAAAGGAGCACAAAGGAATTTTTGTGAAGTGATAAAAATGTTCTATATCTTGTTTAGGTGGTGGTTACATGAGTATATACAATTGTTAAAAGTCATCAAGTTGAAGTAAGATCTGCAGATTTTTATTATATGCAAATTTTATTTCAACTTTCAAAAATTAAAAGGGCTATCATTAATGAAGTTTGTGCTGTAGTTTATTTAACCATTCCTCTAATGATAGACATTAGTTTTCCCCCTCTTTGTCACAATAATAAATTATAATACAATAAATATCTTAGTATATTAGGTTGATTCATATGAAATTATCAATATTCAATATTTCCATGTATAAAAATGATAAGTCCATATGTTAATGTTTTGGATTATTCCCTTAGATTAAACTTTCAGAGTTGGGGGGCTTGAGCAAAATTTATGAACATGAAAAACTGTTGATACATATTGCTTAATTGTTTTCCTATTAGTTCTACAAATGTATAAGTCCTACTAACCTTTTTTGTTGTTGTTAATCCTCACCTGAAGATATTTTTTCATTAATTTTTAGCAGGCTAATTTATTTATTTATTTTTATTTATTTATAAATTTATTGGGGTGACATTGGTATAGATAGCCCAGCTAAAAAACCACATGTATATGGACAGATAATTTTCAACAAAGGAACCAGAAACACACAATGGAATAAAGATAATCTCTTCAATAAATGCTGCAGAGAAAACTAGAAAGCCACATGCAAACAAATGAAACTGGATTATAGTTTGTCCCCATGTACAAAACTTAATTCAAAGTGCATCAAAGACCTAAACATTAGACCTGAAACAATAAGTTACATAGAATAAAAGATAGGTAACAAACTTATGGACCTTGGTCATAGAGAACATTTTATGAACTTCACCCCAAAGGCAAGGGAAGTAAAAGTAAAAATGAGCAAGTGAGACTATATAAAACTAAAAAGTTTCTGCACAGAAAAAGAAACTGACAACAAAGCAAAGAGGCAGCCAACCAGATGGGAGATGATATTTGCAAACAGTAGCTCTGACAAAGGTTTATTTCCAAAATATATAAAGAATTCATAAAACTCAACACCAAACAAACAATCCAACCATAAATGGGCAGAGGACCTGAAAATACACCTCTCCCAAGAAGACAGATGAACAGCCAATAGATATATGAAAAGGTGTTCAACCTCACTAGCAATTAGGGAAATGCAAATCAAAACTACAATGAGATACCACCTCACCCCTGTTAGAGTGGCCATTATCAACAAGACAAGCAATAGCAAGTATTGGAGAGCTTGGGAGAAAAGAGGGAACCCTCATTCACTGCTGGTGGGAATGTAGACTGGTACAACCACTATGGAAAGCAGTCAGGCAATTCCTCAAAAAATTGAGAATAGAGCTACCATATGACCCAGCAATCCCTCTCCTGGGTATATACCCAAAAAACTCGAAATCATGTATTCACAAAAGTATGTGTACCCCTATGTTCATTGCAGCATTATTCACGGTGGCCAAGACATGGAAACAACCAAAGTGTCCTGTGATAGAGGACTGGATAAAGAAGATGTGGTACATATACACAATGGAATACTACTCAGCCATCGGAAAAGATGAAATACTGCCATTTGCAACAACATGGATGGACCTTGAGAATATTATGCTCACTGAAATAAGTCAGTCAGAAAAAGTATATGGATCAGAAGAACCATATAATTTATCTCATACTAGAGGCCTGGTGCATGAAATTCATGCACAGGGGGGAGGGGGGAGGGAGGGTGTCCCTCAGCCCAGCCTGCACCCTCTCCAATCAGGAACACTTTGGGGGATGTCCAACTGCCAGTTTAGGCCTGATCCCACAGGGGATTGGGACATCCCTCTCTCAATCCGGGACTGCTGGCTCCTAACCACTCACCTGCCTGCCAGCCTGATCGCCCCCTAATTGCTCCCTCCTGCAGGCCTGATCGCCCCCTAACTGCCCCCCACCCTTGCCGGCCTGATAGCCCCTAACCACCTCTGCCTTGGCCCCCGCCATCATGGCTTTGTCTGGAAGGACATCTGGAAGATGTCCGGTCTAATTAGCACATTACCCTATTATTAGTATAGATGTGGTATGTAAAACTAAAACTTGTGGACACAAACAGCAATGTGGTGGTTGCCAGACGGAACGGGGTGGGGGAGAAGGAGGTCCTAATGCAGAGGTTCTCAACCTGTGGGTCGTGACCGCTTTGGGGGTCGAACGACCCTTTCACAGGGGTCGCCTAAGACCATTGGAAAACACATATATAATTACATATTGTTTTTGTGATTAATCACTATGCTTTAATTATGTTCAATTTGTAACAATGAAATTGGGGGTCACCACAACATGAGGAACTGTATTAAAGGGTTGCGACATTAGAAAGGTTGAGAACCACTGTCCTAATGTATGGTGACAGATTTGACTTTGGGTGTTGGGCACATGGTGCAATATACGGATATTGTAGCAGAAACCCACACTTGAAACCTATATGTTCATGTTGACAATGTTCCATTGATTTTTAGAGAGAGTGGAAGGGAAGGGGAGAGACAAAGAGAGACACATGGATTGGTTGCCTCCCCCACCGGCTTGGGCCCTACTAACCTTTCATGAACGTGTCTATTTGCACTTTAATATTTTTTTAATTCTTTATAATTTGATATCCATTTACATCTCTTCCACAAGCATATGCACTTTCTATCTTACCAAAGAGAGCACTTTGTAGCTCTCTTATGGCTCATGTCTATGTACACTTAAGGGTGTATAAGAAAACTTCTGAAGGTCAACAACCTCATTTTTCTTTATCTCCTAGCCTAGGGCCTTGTGCATGTCATTCATTCCCTCAGGGAAAGTCTATTGAGTTCGCACAATGGACCAGTAACTGAGATAGGTGCGGCAGGCATTCAGGACGTTCACCGAACTGAGCACCACTAGTTTCAGATATCCTTTTATTGTACCAGTGGGTCGCATTCAACATACACGCCCCGCGTTTTAAATTTCCAGATTGAGACTTTCTCATTTCTATGGTGCACTAATCGGAAATAAAAGCGCTGAACCTTTAGCCTTTAAATGTATTGACTATGTACAGGTCCTTCCCTTGGCCCTGTTAATAATTCCTTAAAACGCACCCAAGCGCCATACTCTGGGGGACTTCGAACCGGGAGAGTAAAATCGAGGGCAGCTGGCGTTGCAGGGACTTTTCACCGAAGTCTGAAGGGCACCAGGGTGGTGAATGTCTCCATAAGGACGCCCGTGTAATAAATATGCAAATCATGCCGCACAGGCTCGCTCCGGGTCCGGGAGCGCCCGCAGCCCACCCCACTTCCCGGGGTTGCTGTACTCAGCGGGGCGGGATCGCCTCC